GAATAAAATTCTTTTAACTATAAAAAAATCTTTATATAAAATTCTCGTGTCACAATGTTCGTTCCCATACTCCTATGAAATTTTTTATACATATTCAGTAAGTCTGAGAATCTACTACTATCTATCTTTCAAACTCCTAAATGTTAAACCCTGTATTTTTATCTTTATTTTTGTCTTTATTTTTTTATGATACAACATACAGAAATACAACGCTTAATTTTCAACCCTCTACCATTAATCCCTATTGTTATTATAGTAGATAGTTATTTTTAGTGGAACTAAAAAAATGTTTCCTAAAAATATTATACAAACGGCAAAACAACGTTTGCCGGGTCAGTCGGTAGTAATTTTATATAATTAGATGAACCTAAAACTGAAAACCTTAAAAAATATAAAAATATATTATTAAAAGGAGTCCCTTTAGGCAAGGTTCCGAAGATACTGGCAGCGTTCCCCCTTTGAATAGCCCGAGGTAGCTGCCAGCTCATCGGTCTCGTTTGATGTCGACTAACCTATTTGCTATTTATATTGACATTTATTTGTATGTCTAATTTGATTGGAATTTTACTACATACCTCTAACATCTTTATCACCATCTTCCAACCTATCTGTTCCCCGAGAAATTATGCAAATGAATCTCCACCTTTTTGGCCGATCGGAGCATCAAAATTGACATTGACGGAGCGTAGTCTGACTTCATCCCGTGAACGATGGGGTCCCACAAGGCTGTGTCCTATCTCCGACGCTTTTTCTTCTGCATATAAACGATAATGCAACTTAGCAACATTCATGGCTTTTAGTATTTTTTGGACAGTCTATCTGTACCGCAACAAACTGGTATGCTACGTGGAGTTTCGGACTGGAGTTGCCTTAATCTAGTCCATTCTATACTATCTACTACTATCTAGTCCAATTTAAACCCAAAAAGACCCAATTTTGCGTGTCTCCCGCTAAATCTCCTAAAAATCTCCCTTTGGCGCCCTTCGAAAATACTCTCCTAAAAACCCACAGCCAGTATCGGAACAATGCGTTGACATATCGAACGACGTTCAGTTTCATGGTCATTTAAAGAGAAAGTAAAATACTGAGAGTTTAAAGGTAAATAAGCTAATTGTCTACTTAAAGAAAGAATGACTGTCTTTAATGGTAAATAACTGTGTGTTCTGTGTTCTGTATAATAAAAATTAACCTAAACTTCTATTGTCCAAGTCCTATGGGTCCTTCAAGAAAATAGCGGTTTTGACAGGTCTTATAGCATGCTATGCGAATGGCGGTGAATTAAATAATTGTACTTTAACCAACTTCATTGACATGTCTATAAATCGAAGCTCTTGAATGCATCATATTTCTGTTCTATAGGTCTCAGAATTAGTTCTAGGTGCAGAGCATAGCAGGAACATTTTATAAAACATATATGTACTATGGTATTTGTTACAAATGTTTTAGTATGCCATAAACTAGATATACGCAATTACTCAATATTCAAGGACATCTCTAGTAATCAGCATCAAGTGTAACAGTAAATCACTTTTTGCTGTCGATGCGCAAGAGTGTGGCAACCACTGTGACGCTGTTTCTAGAAAAATAGCCAAAAGTGGCACTTTGCAATGTAGTTACGGCTAATTTCGTAAAGTGGGTTTTGTTTAAAACTTCGATGTTTACAAAAGTTTTACTAAACTAGCTTAAAGTGGTCGTTTGTTTCGTTCTTTGAATGTACTGTCTACATATTTACTGTTGTTCTTCTGTGATGATTGTGCTGTTCTAGGATACATTAAATACTCTAACTTTATATATTTATAATTTATTTATTTAAGGTTTCCTTATAACATCAATATTTGACGACCACATAAATATCAAGTACAGTATTTTACATTTATGGAATAAATATAGGTTAAACAATGTTATTCAGAGTTACAAACTATAAGGTAAACAATGTCATTCAGTAATACATCTAACTTTATATATTGTTTCTATTCAGTTAATGTATTTGTTTTTAAATAATTAAATACTGTCTGTGAATAACGTGCCACAAGTTATTTCAACTTCTCTAGGCTAGACCCAAAAAGCATAAATATTTAGTCCCGCTAACAAGAGATCTCTTTGAGATAATCCTAGTAAAATGAGCAATATTTCAAAGAGTTTAAAGTTTCTTTTAGTTTATTTGTATATATATTATATTATACTTGCCCAGCCAGTCGCAACTAAAGCCATATTATGACTACGAAAGTGTATTTTTATTCACAAAATAGTAAGTAAAACTACACATGGAATAATTGATGTATTCTTTGTTTATTTAAGAAATTAAAAAGGTCGTTATATATGGAAATAGGGGTATTTAAATGGCGTCATAAATAAGTATTTTATTACCACTTATAATTATGAATTAACAATTTATTTTATTGTATCTCCAACTCGTTAATAAATAAAGTCAATCTAATTTAAAAAAAAAATGGTGCGTGTACTTATGTACGTGCGTAAGATGTTATGCTTCTTTGGCTTTCTTTATTTTTTTTAAATATTAAATAATTAATAATTAATATTTAGCGTTAATAATTTAACAATATTTCATATTTAGTATATTATTCAATTATTAACTAATATTAATAATAATTATTATTTATTATTTTATTATATTATTAATTCAATTTAATAACTAGGTATGTTTCATAACCTTTTAACTAAGTAACAATAGGTCTTTGTGATTTTTCGCATTGCTAAATTTCTTTGAAAAAATAATTAAAACTCCTTTATTTGTTTAAAAGGTACTACAAATGTCATAGTGGTCATTCAAAATTCTTGGCATAGCTGCTAACGTCACGCATATTCTATTTCTTTTTACTTGTAGATTGTCTTATTCCCATTTCGCTTGCGCACGCTCGGCGCCCATACTGATAATTTTGTGTCACGGTGCGCGCGCATCGTAAAATTTCACTCTCATAAATTTTTCATAACGCGCCTAAAGAAGTATAACTTCAAAAAAACATATTAAAATTAATATAGGTTATGTACACTCTCAAATTTGACATTTTTAAAATGACGGTTTCAAACTTGAGCTACAGCATAAAAATACATTTCTCAATATACTTCTTTTTGTCCTCTTAATTCAAGTGCTGTACAAGGTTGTGTACTGCAACCGCATACGCAGAGTGGAATGTTCGAAAAAAAAATGAGAACCACCGCGTAGCTCTTTGTAGCATTGTTCATAAAAAATTAACCTGATTTTCATATGTACAAATCTTATGGATGTTTGACTTCGTATTTTTAAAGTTAAATTAATAAAACTGTTATCTATTTCATATACAGTATTAACAATATTCTTAACCTAAAGTTCTTAAAGTTATAATAATTTAAAATGGATACATAGAAAATTAAGACAAATTTAAAAAGTTTGGTCCTGAAAGTGTTTGTGTCAAGTTTGTATTTGATTTGGTAAAATAACATAACTACATTAAAAAAAAATGTTGAAAATAAATTTATTCCACAAGGCAAGTAGTAAATGATGAATTGATTTTTTTTTTATCTAAGAAATGCCGGTTGCCTTACGAAGTTTTCCTTTGCTGTACGAGGAAAAGGTAAATTACTCACATAGATTTATATAACAAGGGATAAACAGGCAGGAGGCTCATCTGTTGTTAAGTAATGGTTCATGAACACTCACATTGCTTGCAGGTTCGATGCCGGTCTTTTAAGAATTGGTACGCTCTTTTCTTGAAGGACCTTAAGTCAAATTGGTTCGAAAATACTTTAGTGGGTAGCTCACATAGTGGTGGTGAGGTAAAAACTGCCTTAAAATCTCTCAGTTGTGCCTTGACGTCCGATGATGATTAGCCGTTGTTTGAACGCACAACTTCAGAGTCATGCTTCAAGCCAAAAGTGCGCAAGATCTTGTGTACTATAAAAAATTGAGACCAATTAATATTTTTACGTTGAAAGAAATTCGTCTTAAACCAATGTACTTCAAATATCATATGCCAATGTCAAATGACAATACTTAACAGTCATCAGGTCAAGACGAGGGATTTCGCGCCACTGGTTTCTTTAATACCACATAGTGATGAATCGACCGACATCGAATTTGCAGCAATGCTAACGTTGCTAATTAAATACTCACAGGCGTTATATAATTTCGAAGCAATTTCTTTTACCACACTCGCATTAACTGAAAATGATCCATAGATCTCCAAACAACGTCGATGCTTCAATTTTCTATTTGACAGTATGAAAAATGAGGTGTTATTAAGGCATGTATTCTTAAACGTCAAATTCAATCTAGTTTCAAGAGGTGTCAAAACATCAGTTTTTGTATTAATATTGACATATTCCACAGCACTCAAGACGAGTTAGAATATGGACCTAAAAGTATAAAGTATCTCGTCAGTGGTCAGCCGCGTAATAAGGTAACAATCACAAATTAGTCGAATCGACGATGACGTAGCATGCTTGTAAATAATAAGTTTTCATCTGTCTAATTACAGAATATAAAAGTAATAATTAATAAACTTAAAAAAATATAATATAATAACTAAGACATATTATTAAAAGGAGACCCTTTAGGCAAGGTTCCGAAGATACTGGCAACATGTGTGCCTGTTGGGACATGTGGTTGGGCTTATATTATTAATATTTGCTATATATTATAATTATTTGCTATATATACAATAATTGGCTATATATTATTATAAACTTTTATGGTTTTAAATAATACTATTGAGACTCATCTCCAATCAAAATTAATATATATGTTTATTATCTGTCAGTATATTTAATTTAGATATACAAATTTTGTGAAGATATTCAACATTTAGTAAAATAACAGTTCATGAATTACAAAGTTAAAATCCCTTTATGTGTAAATTTTTAGTTAACTCATGTCATGTAATTGGGAAAATGTTAATAATGAGGTTCATTGTCTTTTTGAGTACATATAAGTCGTATTGTCCTAATTTAAATTAGATGATACAAAGATGTTGTGATAAGTACACGTAAGTTTGTGTTTAAAAATGGTAGCAACATATGAAAATATTTTTGAAGATGTTTCAAAAACAGTAGAATCAAGTAAGTATTTAATAACTTAAATATCTATAAATAAAAATTTTTTTAACATAACTCGACGTGCTCGATCAAGTGCTTTTCAACGATAGTGGTCAGTATATCTATATGTCGCAGCCAACTAGCATAATAAGCCGTTCAATTAATAGTACGGGAGGTAGCAACGTTTGAAAAGAAAGAATTTTAGGTCAGCTGATTTTGTGATATGTCTTCCTTCTTGCACTTCCGGTTAGTCTGGGACAAACATAATATTAAAATTACAGACATTCTAAAATGCTTTGAAATTTTTATAAAAATAAAACTTAAAATCGCGTCTGGCACATAGTTAGCAACGTGAAAAATGTCTGGCAATAAAAAAAGTATGTCAGGTAGACGTATTTAAAAAGGAAAAATCAAAAATTACGCTTCTTAAAATGCTTTTAAAATCCAGGATTATTACCTGGACAGATAGGATGCGCACTAATGAACGCAACCGCTACCGCCAGCCAGACTGCCCAGACTCTAACCGGAAGTGCAAGAAGGAAGACATATCACAAAATCAGCTGACCTAAAATTCTTTCTTTTCAAACGTTGCTACCTCCCGTACTATAACAGCTTAGCCTAACTAAACAGCGCCGTTTAACTAGCGGCCTGAAAGATATTCAGCCGTAGCGTTTGTAACAACATTTAATAAACCTGCTGGCTAATGCTTAGGCCATACGTATGATAGAGTGACAGAAATAAAAAATCTGAAATATCAGACATAAGAAATTCTTTATTAAATATATTTAAAATGTAACTAGTGTCACTACACTCTTCCATACTATTTTTCATTAAACTTTGGAAAACATCACCAAATTTGTTGTTTGCTGACGCTTTATTGACAGTTTGGAATAAATTGAAATGAATAGGATATGCAAGTAATGTAAAGTCATCGATTCAAGTAAATTGCGTAGCTTTTGATCAAATGGCTGAATATCATTCAGGCCACTAGTTAAACGGTGCTGTTTGGTAAACAGTCTAGGCTGTTAATTTGACTGCGAATGAAACTAGTTGGCTGCGACATAATATATAATTATTAGTATTACCTTTGAAGTACTATCATATTATCGCAAAATTGCCGAAGTTTATATTTCCAATTCCACTGGATTTTTGTATAAAGACATTGTAATTCAATATGTATTATCTGGGAATATAATTAGTTAACTAGATCCAATGAACAATGAGTTTTATTTAAATGTGTAATACTCGTGTACTCCAACAAATCTGTCACACTTAGTAGAAAGCACACGCATCCCTTCGTCTGTATTTAGGTATTTCAAATTATGCAACGTTTCTTACTGACTCGAGTGATAGAAGATTTATTATAATATATTAACATAGTAAACCTAAAACCAAGTCACCCACGTTTGGGTTCAAACAACGCTTTCCACATGACAGTTTTAAATAAGATAAATTTTCACTCCCTTCTGAATGGTTTTGTTTATGATAGCTATACATATACGACGTTTTTGTTTAAAATAACGATGCAGTACCACAACTACCTTTTTTTTTTGATTGGACAATTCACACCAATTGACTTAGTCCCATGCTAAGCTGGTGAAGCTTGTGTTATGGGTACTAGGCAACGGATATATACATACATATTATAGATAGATACACATATAAATACATATTTAAACACCCAAGACCTAAGCACAACACCAAATGCTCATCACATCGATGTACAACGTTAGTATCGTGATTACATGCTTTGTTTGTTGCGTAGATATGTGGAGTCACTCTGCGTCTTCTACCGCATTTACCTCGAAGTGTGTTCAGAGAATATGTTCGGACCTGTGGCTGAGCTGCATCATCGGATGTCGAGGCGGAATACGAAATTCCACCCGTATCACCTCGACGTCCGTCGTTCCACAACTGTGCGTTTTTAGGCAGTTTTTGCCGCACACCACCTCTGTGTGGAACCAGATGCCCACTGAAGTATTTCCGAACCAATTCAATTTAGGGTCTTTCAAAAAGAACGTAACGCAATCGCGAGCCCTGAGGCAGGGGGAGTGTCCATGGGCGGTAATCACTTAACATCAGGGGAGTTTCCTGCCCGTTTGCCCTCTGTTCTGAAAAAAAAAACAATAACACAAAAGTTTCTTTAAACATAATTAATAGGATGTAAATAACTACAATGACAATCAATATCTCTTTAAGGTAATTTTTGTGGGAAAGTACGGGGAATTTTGTGGCCGCAATCCATTATCTATAATTTTCAACTTTGACAATTTACTTTCATAAGGAAATACAGAAGTTTCTCGTGATATTAAGAACACGTATCTATTTCTAGTCTTCACTGTAATTGTAGCAAATAGCCGTCTATACATTTGTAAGGGACGAATGATTTGGCAGTAAGTATATACCTGTGCTCCCAGAAAAAAAGAGAGCTAGTCTAATAAAGTAATTAGATTTTCGGTTCCTTGGTTAAGGTACCAATTGAGAATTTTAAATATACACATCAACGTTTTAGGTCCCATTCAGATATGGACATTAAATGAAACCCTAACTGGACTGTTCCTGGTATTAGTTCTATATCTGTCCTTAGTTTTAAAGATACTACCGACGTTTATGAAACATCGCCAACCTTTTCAACTGAATCGCTTACTATCAATTTACAACGCCGTTCAAGTTACTTCATCACTCTATATAGTGTTTCTGGTGAGTAGTTTGCTATTTTTTATTAAAAGGCGTATATTTCTTTATTTTACTAAAAGTATAGAGTAGAGAAAAAAAAGTATAATGCGCGTGATTCTTAACCATAAAGTAGTGAGTTTGAACCTCAACTGTACCCTAAATCCTATGTTCGAAACTCACACATGTTCTTTATTTTTTCATAGTGTTTTGATTCATTAATTAACATTATCATAACATAACAAAATAACTCCCGTACTACAAGTGTTTTACTTAGTACAATTTCGTGCATTTACAAGTTTTTACATTTTTAGATATTTATTAAAAATACTTTTTACTTTCAGTATTCAAAATACGTCTTTCGTCATGGTGTTATTACGACAAGATGTCCGCAAGGCGAGGATTTAAAAGACGTACGTATTGTTTTTAGATTACACATTGAAACCTCTTCTAAACCCCAAATGTCAAGTTCTGGTACATGGTGTCTATTGGCATAGTTGATATATTTCTGATTACACATTACTATTTTTTTTATCTGTAGGAGGAGGTAATTTGACATGTTAATTCCGAAACAGTTATATACTTTTTAAATCTAAGTACAGGAACATTTAATATTTAACTTAGGTAGGTAGGCTTAGGTAGGCTTAGTAGGAAAGGTATAGCTTCAAGACTAAGTGCTTGATATATATAGTTTTTATGTTATAGCAATATATCTATCCTATCACTTTTGAGTAAAATCCTTTTAAAGGCGCTTATAAAGGATATTTTGTAATGGATATTGTATTAAAAAAAAATTGAACATAAAATTTTTTTTTAATTTTTAGAGTCGAAATATTATTTAATGATATTATGTTAATCATTATAGCAGTGGATTACAATAATAAGTTATTGACCTGGTAAGCGTGGATGAGATCGCTTTTTAGCGATAAGGTATAATATTTTTTTATGTTCAATTAACTGTGAATATATAAAATAATTTAATGTTATAATGAACTGCGTTAACTTAGTGGTAAGAATGATTCTCACGTAGTGAACAAATTGTCAAAAGACATGCCTTGTACAAGAACTTCGGACACATAACACTGATCGTCGACTTGCCTATAAAATTAAAATTATTTTAATTATTAATGAAAGAAAGACGCAGAAATTTGTAGGCTATACTCCAATATATAAATAGTTTATCGAAATGTACTTATTAAAAGATTGCTTATTAATGTGCTAATTATTCGTATTAGAAATACGAAAATATTTAAAAATTAATTATAAGTCGATCAACCGTCTACTAAAATTTTATATACCAGTTCCTTACGTAATTTTTTACGTAAGAAACTATAAAAACTTCCAATTTATTCAAATAAATTATAATTGTTTCAAAAGAATTTTAAATTAGTCTGCACTTCCTTATTTGTATTAAACAAGCAACCTTCCCGGGGTTCACTCGTATATTACAAGGTGAAAGTATCTATATCACAGTCTATATACCTACAGTGATTTTTATCATATTTCCGGAGAAGTCCGGGTCGCCGAGTCCACCTAACTTAAGTTAATACCTCTCTAGGAAAGGGGAGATTACACACTACCCTATTTTTATTAATGGTTGATTTTTATGAAAGGTAGAAATGTTGGGGCCAATTTTTTGCAGTCACCACAATAATACAAACAATGTAAAAAAATTGAAATATACCGTGTTCATATACGTAGAATCCTTGCTTGTTAACTGACAACTCAGGCTTGTAATGTTATCCACAACGAAGTAATAGGGAGTCGAAAAAAGGCTGAACCTCTTCGAAAAGGATGGTGCCGTGCTGCCTTTTTTCATACATACAACAATGTTCTGACGTTCTAAAATTCACGCTATTTTTATGCATATTAAAATTGTCACGTATAATATTGTGCCTAATTACACTATGCAAAAAAAAACTAATTAACTTCAATTAAAAACCTTTCATTGAAGTTACACCTTTAAGGTACCAAAACTTCTTGAGACGGTAACAAACAGACGTTTTATATAGTTCGAATTAAATACTTAGACTATTGTTATTCAAATTAGTGAACTTTACCTTCCTTTTAACATTGCAAGAATATAAAAATAAATATTTATTTGTTTCGTCTCAAGGTTAAACCTATTCGATCCAATTAAAAACGTGGTACAATGTTACGATGTTTTTTACGTAAAAATGGTAATAATTATAACAAAGTTTAGGCCACCAATTAAAGGATGATTCACGGTACACCGTGTCGCGACCGGGCCGGGCCTCGGCCGGGACACGTCCACCGTGCGCCGGCCTGGACAGTGATTCTTGTTACACCGGGCTGTTTGAGTGTACGCACGTACGTGTTTACACGACTATATCTGTTTTTGTCAGCTAGTGATTTCATCTGTCGATAGACTTGACGCTTAAGTAATTATGCAATTTTCACAATTTGAATTGGCAGCTGTTGCAATTGCCATCGATGACGAAGTATTAGAAAAACGAAGCGAAAGTACTAAAAGAAGATGGGGTGTACATCCAACCTGGAGAAAGCGAGAAGCAGAAGGGGAATTTTCTTTACTTTACAAAGAATTAATAGACGACGAGAGCAAGTTTTATGGTTATTTAAGAATGTCTAAAGAATGTTTTACTTATTTACTTGAAAAATTAAAACCAGATCTAACCAAAAAAATTACAAGATTTCAAAAGCCTATATCTCCCATCGGATTATTTCGTCCGAAATGGTTTTCCATATAATATTTTTGTATTTGTTATCTAAATACTTAGGATGGCTCATGTCGTAAATCACAGGGTACTTGCGTACACATTCTAATAATTTTTCATCGTCCATTTTGCTGTTGAGCTGCAGACCTCACTAAGATTTTACGTTGACTGCTCTGCGTGTGGCCGGACGCCTACGTTCATGTTACGACGTGTCGGGGCCGGACCGTGCCGGAGCCGGGAAACAATACCCACCGACATTACAACGCCGTGCCCCGGCCGAGTCCCGGCGGCGCACGGTAAGGGCACGGCCGAGCCACGGTTAGGCATGAATTACTTCATACAAAAGTATATAATTAATGTTAGACCGTGCCTCGGCCGGGGCACGGCCCGGTCGAGACACGGTGTAGCGCGAATCATCCTTTATTCGGAAATTTATCTGTTTTAGAACACGCTTATATTTATTTGTTTTATTTCTTAAAACACATACACACTATTCATACAGTCTCAGATAATACGATATTGTCGAACGAATAAGATTATTTAAATCTAAAAGGAAATAAAATAATAGTAACATGTGCTAAGTGTTTCTTGTTGCTTTTATTTTATAGAAGATAATTATAAAGATTTTATGTCGTAGAGATAATCTCGCAAATGCATTTTTAATAGTAAACGCATGTTTGTATTGTGATAATATATTATGATTTTTTAAATTGAGGAGCATTAAAATTTGGCGCTGCTCTTCTGGCGCAGCAAATATACTGTCTACTTCATTTAGCCTCATCACTTACCTACCATAGTTGCATTTCTCCTAATGTTATTTTTATATTATCACTTCGTTTTAGTAATGTAGTATTTACAATATTCTACAAATCAAAAAAAAAAATCAAAAACTAATTTAAAAAGCTTGGCGGAACAGTGCACCTTTAATGCTGGCAGCATTTCCTCGCTGTATTGCGATACTTATTCGTTGAGCGAGGAAAGCACCAGCTCTGTGGTCATCGTTACTGTCTATGAGACGCCAACTTAAACTTTTAATTGCGCATGTACTAAAACGCTACAACCCAATAGAGTCGGCAATTAAATTTAGAGCTACGAACGTGAAATGGAATGTCATGTGATGTGCATGAATAAATGGTTTTCTTTCTGTCAAATAAGCCTTTATTAAACCGTGGAATGAAACCTAGAAGGCCAAAATCATGAATCATGTCTATAAAGGTTAAAAATATGTAGTTTGTTTATCATAAGTAAACTTTTAAGTCGTATTCATAATTGCTTTTTTTATTTAAATAAAATTATGTAATTTCAAACTTTATTTTTAGAGCATAAACGACATCCTTCCATACTTCATAGCGAAGCACGTCGACCTCTTAGACACAATATTCTTCATCCTACGCAAAAAGCAAAACCAAGTGACCTTCCTCCATGTATACCATCACAGTGCCATGGTGGGATGGACATGGTTCCACTATATGTATCACCCATGTGATCACTTTGTGGTCGTTGGTCTAATCAATAGCTTCGTACATGTTATTATGTACACTTACTATTGGCTGGCTTCTTTGGGCCCAGAATACGCCCGGTTCGTTTGGTGGAAGAAACATCTTACTAAAGTGCAATTGGTGAGTTGAAGGCTATTTAATTTTGTAACTTACTAAGCATAAAATATAACTGAAATCTACGAACTTCAATCTGAACTCCATGAAGTTCAAAGCCGAATCAAAATTTGCTTCGGGCAAACGGAAAACGTCACAGGACGTACGTAGTCCTTGTCCCGAACAAGTAGTTCCAGTACAGCCTTGCGATTCTGTAACTCACTTTCTGATAAGGAGGGAGCTTGTAGTTTATTGTTTATCAGACTGCCAAATCGTAAAATTACTGCTTTACGACTGATTTGAGCGCGACCGCCGCTGTGTGAGTTTGAAAAGTGAGTTACAGAATCGCAAGGCAGGCCAAATAACAAAAATGTAAATAAGGAATGTGGTATTTAATAATATAAGTGAAAGTGTTATTGAGAGTATTTTATATAAAACATGGCTTTAATCTTTATACAGTGTTATGCAGTAATATCACTTGCATAAAATTGTTTATCAAAAAAACGATAAAATACAAATATTTATTTCTATAGATCAGTCACAGATTAGTCCAGTAAATAATAATATGTTTTCGCTTGTTAATCCTAATATCGGAGTTTAATTCCGTTCCAGACTGTTTTTGATCTTATATTTGTATAATTTGATTTTATATTTGTATAATTTATAAAGCATAATTAATGAATGATAATCACATGATACGTCACAGGGATTATTGCGACGCCATCTTGCATAGAGATTTTTGGCGGCTTTTTGAAAATATAAATATTTATAAACAATACTTAACAGAACAAAAACTAAAAATTTGTGTAGGTTCTATTGTCACTACTAAATATTATGTAATGGTTTTAAAATCTTCTTGTTAAATGTTAAGTTCCACAGTTAAGGTTATGGGAAAATATATTAATATTCAATCTTTTTTTTTTTAAAGACAATTCACACCAATTGACCTAGTCCCATGCTAAGCTCGTGAAGCTTGTGTTATGGGTACTAGGCAACGGATATACATACATATTATAGATAATATATAGACATATAAATACATATTTAAACACCCAAGACCTAAGCACAACACCAAATACTCATCACGTCGATGTCCGTCTCAGCCGGGGATCGAACCCGGGACCCATGGATTCGCAGTCAGGGGTATTAACCACTAGACCAATGAGTCGTCAAAATCTGTATCTTATTATATTGTTTTGTGGAATTAAGCAGCATGTAATTGGTAAATATATGATGAAAAATTCAATAGCGGAAACGCCACAGGCTAAATCAAAGATTTTAATATTTCGATCTTACGAAAACATATAATAAGGAAATAATATGAAACAGACAACTATATCCTTGCCTAGTCTATGTCAGTCTTTAATCTTCTTGCAACATAGCGAATTATTATGCCACTGATTCGCTCATTATGCTAATACATTATACATACGTAGTTAATTAGCCAAACAGAATACAAAGACCAGTTTTGTCATGCCAATCTTAACATCGCCGTGGGTTCGATCCCTGTCACACGAATTTTATTCATGGTTTCTGAAATGTGTTTGCCGTATTAGTCGTAGTAATATGGAACTACAGTATACAGTTGTCTTTTATACAAATAAAAAAAGATTTGTGTGACACAAGAAAAAAAAATCGTGGCGCTACAACATTTTTGGGACTCAGATTTATGTATCTGTTTCATCATCATATTTTGTCAACCTAATAGGCAAGTAGGTGATCAGCCTCCTGTGCCTGACACACCGTCGGCTTTTTGGGTATAGGGCAAGCCGGTTTCGTTGCGATATTTTCCTTCACCGTTCGAGCGAACGTTAAATGCGCACATACACAGCCCATAAGTGCACAACCGGGGATCAAACCTACGACCTCAGGGATGAGAGTCGCACGCTGAAGCCACTAGGACATCACTGCTCTGCTTCTTTTTTTGTGTGACACCAGTAATATATGTTTGCAAGTTATGGTTTGTAGATTTGTGTGTTATGAAAGTTATTACGTCAATCTTTTATTTGGAGGTTTTGTAAGAAAATGCCTAAGGTGAGTTTAGCTTTGATGATTTAATTCGCTACCTCATTATAATAAAACATTAATTATATATGATAAACCTAACCTTGACTGCAGAAATAAAATAATCTTACAACCTTGTAACGTGTTTTTTTTTAAATCTGTATAATTACGGAATAAATGATATATTGTTTAATTGGAACAAGTTCTGTGTGTATTGACATAGTTTTAAAATGAATTAAAGTATTGAATTAATAATATGTAATATATGAGAGCGACCGATTTGTAAAGCGTTTGGGGGGGAAGCGGGATAAAATAAAATAATAAAAATAACCTTTATTTAAGTACTACACTAAGTCCATGCCATTTATGTTTTACACTAGTACTCGACCTACAAAGGAGTGAAGGCTTCTAAATTCTTCCACTTGTCTCTATTCCTTGCGACACTTTCCCAATTCTGCCCTGCTATCCCTTTAATTATAGTATAGTATATTATAAGGGTAATGGTAATACATAGTGATTAAAAAACGTACTTAGAAAAGGTTAATGTTTAGATTTTTATACAATAACGAAAAGGTTTTTTGGTAATTGTATAATAATAGTTTAATAATATTTTAAGTTCAAATTTGACCTATGTATTTTCTGTAAATAAATATATGATATATTTAATACGAAACCTTAATTACACACTCTACTATACTCAATTTGATATTTTTTTCAGATACAATTCGTCTTGGTTATATCAAATCTCTACTACCAGCAGAAGTTGAGCCCTTGTCCTCTTCCAGCCGCATTTCACTACTATTGCCTCTTCTGCATCAGCTCTTTCTTCGTACTCTTTATAAATTTCTATCTCCAAAGCTATAGCAAAAGACGTGTATCTAACTCTGCTAAAGAGGCAGTAAAAGATGATTAAATTTATTTATTTATTACATAATACATAATGCTGTATCTATAAAATATATTACAGCTATCTTTAATGTTACAAAAAAATAAAAATACTTGTAATTTTTTGCTTATTGTTTAGCAAAAATAACCGCAAAACAGCGGATAAGGTACGAGATGGACACCCAACAACGCCTTCCTTAAAATAGATCAGCCCGCTACCGAATATATCCAGATCCGGATAATTACTTTTATAAACGGTTCTAGAATTAATGTTATACTTGCGATTTAATTGTAAATTATAAGTATTCATGTCTTATAATGTTTTTTATAGTTTAAGTACTAATAAATTTTAATTTATTTAACTTTGTTTATTTTAATGGCCATATTTTAATGTAACACTAAAAATGTATTGTTTTTGTTTATCTACCCAATTTAGCTAACTCTTTAATTTGTAATTATCTTTTAAACACATGACTGAATGTATAATTCAAATAAGATGATAGGAATCTAGTAATTACTGATAATAATAATACTGTCGACGATAAAACATGAATATCTATAAATATCCGTTATTCGTATACGTCGAAATGAACGTGTATAATACTCTAGTGGTTAATAAGACATTATATACTTAATAAACTTCTTCTGTTTTTGAGTTCGTAAACTTATAAATGTATTCAAAAGCCTTAGAAACCCTTCTGATCCACATACAATCAAGATAGTGTACATAGGCTGCACTAAAAGTATCGGGAATGGAATAATACCACTGTTCCTGTCATATTTAAATCTTTTTAATTGAAAACTCCTTTTTTTTTAAATCGAATACCATTTATTTTTTTAAAAAAGAGTCTCGGTCTTTTCACAAAGTTTTGTCAAACTTGTTTAGTCGTTAAGAAAATGGAATTGACTCGAGAAAATTCAAGAGCCATGATTATTATGATTTCGAAGTGGTTTATCACAAAAACAGTGTGTTACCGGATATTTGCATTTGGGATGAAGATTAAAACAACAATTTATCGCTGGTTTGCTGAATTCCAACGTGGACGTGTCAAGCTCAGTGATGATCCCCGTCAAGGTCGTCCAAAAACTGCAGTCACCCAAGAAAACGTTGATGCTGTGCGTAAGCTGATTGAAGAAGATCGACATGTGACATACCGCGAAATTCAGGCAACTTTAGACATTGGCATGAGTCAAATACAAATAATCTTGCATGAAAAATTAGGTGTAAAAAAGTTGTTTTCCCGATGGATACCGCATTCGCTCTGTGAAGAGCAACAAGCGGTTTGCGTTACTTGGTGCGTCAGAACTCTCGAAAGATTCCACGCAGGATCCTCAAATGCTGTATACAACATCGTATCAGGTGACGAATCCTGGATATACGCGTACAAACCCGAAACAAAAAACCAGTCACGAGTTTGGGTGTTCGAAAATGAGTTAAAGCCAACGAAAATTATTCGTTCACGGAGTGTTTCAAAAAAAATGGTGGCCACGTTTGTCTCCAAAACCGGCCATGTTGCGACTATTCCTCTTGAGGACCAAGAACGGTTAATGCAGAATGATATGCTAGCATTTGTTTGCCACAGGTCGTTTCTGAACTCCGTAAAGAGAACTGCAACCGCCGCATCATCCTCCATCACGACAATGCGAGTTCTCACACCGCGCACAGAACAAAAGAGTTTTTAGAGCAAGAAAACATAGACCATCCGCCGTACAGCCCCGACCTAAGCCCTAATGATTTTTATACTTTCCCTAAAATAAAGAATAAATTGCGTGGTCAGAGATTTTCATCACTTGAAGAAGCTGTGGACGCCTACAAAACGGCCATTTTGGAGACCCCAACTTCCGAATGGAATGGTTGCTTCAATGATTGGTTCCATCGTATGGAAAAATGTGTCAAATTTCACGGAGAATACTTCGAAAAGCAATAAATACTTTAAATAGTAATGTTGTGTCACTTCCTTGATTCCCGAAATTTTCAGTGCCGCCCTCGTATACTACATTATTCCAGTCGATATTATCTTAGTGCATATGTTTAGGGTGGAGTAGCGTCATTTTTAATGCTGAAAATTGAGCGTGCCCAACGCGCCATTTTTAAGATATCCTATAGGAAACATTTTCACTACTCAACTTCAAAATTGTACAATGAAACAATTTTTTCGGTAACGGTAACTATACTTATAGAAATAGAGAGATAGTAATAGAAATTCTATTTTTAAAATTAAAATTTCGTAAAGAGAATTATTGAAATAGTATTATTTTATATTTTATGCAAAATAATTTATGAAAATCTCAAATGATGAATTGTAAATTAAAATGCCACGTGTTTTTATTATCGAAGAAATAAATTTATTATTTTCGACACTGACATTTAAATTGATTTGAATTTTTTACTGACATTTTAATTCATTAAGTTCCTAACATATCTTCCTTTTTCCATAAATATGAACGAGACTTAAAAATTAGTTTGCCAAAGAAGTTTCACTTCCAACATGTGTACTTTGTACGCACGCACTTTTTTTTATATTCATTAAGATAGCTTAGTTCGGTTGCCCAGATCCATATTAAGGCATACTGTACAAGTATATATATAGTACAGGACACACATTATTAGGATATATGAAGACACCGGTAATACCGTGTGTGCTAAATCGGATATGTTATTGCAATTCTAACGGAAACGAAAGTTGCGAGCGACCTTTGTTTACTGTACGCATCAATTCATTTCAAGAATTAAATTCTCTATTATTTTTGTTCCGTGACTAGTTAATTTTCATCTTACCTAAATATTCAAATTTGCGTTTTATTTTTTTGCAAAAAGGTTTCATCAGGACTCTGCTTTCTTTTTGAAACCTTGTTGTAAGGGTCACGCCACCGGTGTAGTGGTTAATGCACTTGGAGGAAGTCTTAAGTACTGATATTGGCAACTATTTCGGGTTGATAGAACCAAGTGGAGCAGCTTGGTGGAGGTCGTAGGTTCGATCCCCGCCTCTGCACCAATGGACTGTCTATGTGCGCATTTAACATTCGCTCGAACGGTGAAGGAAACATCGTGAGGAAACCGGCTTGCCTTAGACCCAAAAGGTCGACGGAGTGGGTAAGACACAGGAGGCTGAACACCTACTTGCCTATTAGATTGACAAATGATCACATATAGAAATCTCAGGCCCAGACGTAAAAAGATTGTAGCGACTAATTTTATTTTAAGATAAAACCAAAATCACCTATTGGCAAAACAAAACGGCCAATAATGGAATCTGAGAAATGAAAGGATTTTTTCGCATAAGATAGTGGATTGCCTTAGCCAAATAAGCGTAAACAGAACAATCGCCCAGTATCACAATAACAAGTGTTGCATAATACTGGGTAGTATTGTGGAGTACGAAAACCAAGAGGTTAGCGGTTTGGCCTGCGCCTGAGCATGCACTTCTAAAATCTAAGAGAAAGATTAGTTGCTTTTAAACCACTCAGCTGATAAGTCGTCGTTTGCGGTTCAAATTGTGTGTGTTCGAATATTTATATTTCGAAAAGTTTTGTGTGCACATTGAACAACAGGTTAGTAAAAAAATATTACGCTTTTAGTGACTTATTAAAATTATGCCTTCTATGTAACCTAGTTTTGGATGAATGTATAAAAATGACGAAATTCAATACTATTTTATTAGTAAGCAATATGATGAAACCTAACTTTTGCATTTATGCTGTTTTTAAATGGGATTTATGTTATATTCCGGAAAATACGATTATTTCGCTTTAGTATGTATTATTGCTTTATGTTACTATTAATTAAATGGTATTAAATGTTAATAACGGTTAAACATGAATGTAAAATATTAAGACCATTTTAAATTGTGTAATATTTAGGCCGATCAGTTATCTAAAAGAATATTATAAATTGAATTTACGCAAATATCGTACCAAATCTGTTCTCAAGTAGGGCAGTGCACATGCAAAAATATTTATTTCGAAATTATTTACACTTACCTCAAATAACTGAGTTTATTCAAAAATTATATATTTTTGTAAAAACCGATTCAAACTCAATGTTTAGTACGTATTGTATAAATAAAATTAGTAATCATAACTATCAAACATACAGTTTTTACAATTTTCTTAACCAACATAGTAATAATTTAAAAATATATAAATAAGATATATTTCGTATATTTTTCGTGTCCCAATTGCCAGGCAAGTTTAATAAACTAAAATGTAAACGTAGAAACATAAAAGTTAGTATTGTTATCTGGTATTAATATCTTGCTGGATCTGGATAATCACTAATCTTAAATAATCAAAGTATAAAATTGGTATGTGGTATTAAAAGCGCCGTAATTATGAACTTATTTTATTATATAAAATTTTACAGTGAATAACTGGTATCCAAAGAATTTTAAATCGCTAATATTACAATATAGAATGTATGGATTCACCATGAAATTCATCAACTACCAATGTTTCTCGGAAAGTAAAAGATTTACTAAAACAACGTAACATGTTAATTAATAAACCAGTGGCAATACAACCATTTAGTGTTTGGGCTTCAGATTGCTGTATCTGTTTCGTGATATTTTTTTTTATTTCTCATTAGATAGATGTGCATGGCATACGCCATCGATTTGGAAGTCTTAGACATATCAGTTTCCTCGCGATGTTTTCCTTCACCGGAAACTTAGTATTACATGTCTAGGACATAGAAAGAAAATTCCATTGGTGCACAGCCATTATTAAAACGCACGACCTCAGAGTTTAGAGGCGCACGCTCAAGTCACTCGGCCAACACTGTTCGTCACTGAGATATAATGATATTAGATTAAATAAAGGTTCTTCTATGACAATCAAATGAAACGCGCCATCATTCTTTGTTTGTTATTCTTGAGTTTTACGATAAACATAAATTCTTAAAGTCAAAGTCTAAAATGATTTAATCATATAGGTAACCCGATGTACACTTATGAACGTCATAAAAAAGAAATGTATGTATATGAAATGCTTCTAACTTTACATTTAGTGCCAGTTCTCAAATCAAGGGCG